CTTTTCTTTAGGCTCGTCTTCGAGCGTCGCCGAATGTTCTCCGTCCCTTCGGAATTTTTTCGTTTTGTGCATTTTCTCGGTTGAGTTTAAATTTAGAAGATTGGAGAACACTCACGTCCCTCTAAATGAAATTTCGCGGCGAACGCGAAAATTGAAATGGACTACCGTGAAAGACGCTATTTCTATTCTCTTCGTAAAATCATTAGTTATTTAAAACGCGGGTAAGCCGTCTTAAGCCATCGAAATTTGGCCAGGATGTCCCGATTGTAACGCAATGAAATCCGAACGCGCTTCCACAGGTAACAGAAATACGAACGAAGTAATTCTTGGCAGTTTCACAACGCGCTTTGTCGCTACTTTGTCATTATCATTCTGCCGTTATTACGTTTATTTACCGCTTCTTCACGCATTTGTTGCAACGCGCTGCCGCATTAGTTGCCGTCACTCGTAAGAGGTCGTAAAAAAATGTCAGAATGAAGTGGGAGAGTGGATAAGGGTGAGGGAGATGGGTGGGAGAGGGAGGAGTTAGAGGGGTGGAAGAGGGGGAGGGAGGGTTGGAGGGTTACGAATGGCCTCGTTATATGGTATAGAATTATGACGTCGGTTATGAGAGACGCAATAATTGCGGGAAAACGCCGACCTGGCCACCGACAGAAATATTATTTATGGGTTCGAGGGAATGAGCGGAAATCGTGATACTTGCGATAGTAAAATATGGCCGGTTGGTTTTTGCCCACCGGGCGTACATTGTGACACTGTCTTGACGCATTCTGATGAAAAATGAATGATTTATCGTCGTTAGAGCGAGTCCACAAAAATCGGGAATAAGAAACAGCTCGGTGGCGATGCCGCGCGATCGGATGATGTTACACGTTGAGAATTGTCGTATCAACGACAACTCTCGGACCCCTCGAATTATCATCACCAGCGTTCTGACGCCTTTTGTACCTTCAATTCGTAGAAAATTATTATGTTAATTCATCGCGCGGCGGCATCATACCCTCGCTTTAATATCGATCGCTTATCGTTTCCTAACGGACGTTTACGCGCGAGGTATTTGTGACAACGGGCGGACATGCGTCATCTAATTCAGTTTACATCGTACATTATTTATATTTAATTTATATGGTCGCGGCGCACACGCAGTGTGTCCGCTCGAGTGGGAGAAGGGGCTCGGCGCCTTTTGTAATAACACGGTAAGCCTATTAGCTCGCTCGTCCGTCTGTACATCCGTGGCGCGCTGTGACAGCTTGCCGCGCCGAATGAATTTTAATGAAATTCAGTGTGTTAGAGGGAGCGAGCGAGCCGGCGGCGGCCCCCGGCCAACTACCCCCGGCTGAATTTATCCGACAAATTCTCCCTCCGCGTTGTCTAATCTGAATACATGCATATCCGAGAGAGCCGCGTATATAAAGTGGAGACGCGACGACGTGGACAACTGGCGTCGGCGTCGTTTTTCGGCGGCCACGTCCCGCCCGAGATTGAGCGCGCTCGATTAAACAGCACGGGGAATCTAAAATAACATGGAAAATATTATATGCGGGAGGATCCGGGACGTTTCCGTGTATCTCTTTCCGAAATTTTTGCGAGCTTTTATCTTATGAGGTAAGCGCGTTACGATTCGAGCGAGAGAGCCGAGATATAAATTAGATTAGATTAAATTACAATGTATTCTTCCGCCGTATCGAAAGATCCGAGACGATAGATATAAGTATATTATCGTGCATAAGAACAATTTAACTCATACTCGATATTAACCCACTTATGTCTATTGCGGCAATTAGAAGCCTTACCTGTTCAAAATGGATGGACGTCTGGCGTCGTAACGATGCAACTATACTTTTACATAAAAGTATAAGCCCGCGAATGACCCAGATTCATTTCCAATTATATCATCAACTCGACTTTTATCCAATTTGGAAGACCGCGAGAAAATTATTTAAGGCTTCTAAAATTTTTCGCACGAATTAAAATTTAAAAAAATCCAGCTTATTTTATTATTATGAAATATTAAATAATTCTGAAAACGTAGCGCAAAATTACTTTTTCTTTATTTTTAATTCTTTAATTTACAACTTTGCGCAAATTTATCACGTTTGCTCATCGAATATTCATTTGAATATTTCTTTAATATCTGAAATAATTTAGAGAAGTGAGAAGCTTATCTGTAAAAATTGTCGAGTGACCAGCGGGAAATCTAAAGCTGACTTGGCCGGTAATTGGATGGTACTTCGGAACGTGTTAAAACTATCGAAACACTGGCGAGGAACAACGTCGAAGATGATGCCCTGTAGATCTAGTTTTGTCTCTTTCTGCTCCTATTTTCGCTTGTCGCGCGACCTTCTGCTATTATTCGAAGAAGAGAAACTCGTCTTAAAAGAACTTTTAACAACGGCAAGAAAGCACGAATTCACGCGCAACTCTGCACATCTTACATCGGCTTAATCTTTAAATAACACCTTCGTTTTTCTTCATGAGAATATCAAAATGATTTGTTATATTCCTCGTAGCTCTGTCGTAGCTTTCAAAAAAGTAAAGTTTAAAAAAAAAAAAAATACGAGAAAGAAGGTCCCATAAAACACATAATAGAGTTTAAATCGTTAAAATCTGTAGAATAAATACGAATCAGAGAATTATAAAAGCACTCTTAGAATTCAATGTATAAAACAACACGGCGAGTAAAGTCGAAATAATAAAATATTGCAACACGTCATAAAAGTACGCTGTCAGATTTCCGGTGATATTTTTTAATTTTTTTAAGATTTTCATTCCATTTAATTTTCGCCGGAAAATTAAACGTTAAAATTTTCTAGTATATGGAAATCGGCAATGCCCGATAACAACGACATGAGCATTGGCACATGTCAGCGACATGATACTTTTATTGTCAGGATTCAGACTTTACCGTTGTTTGCATGGGAGGCATTGAGATCGATTACGAAATTGATACAATGATAACAATAGAGAGAGAACTAGATATTGATTACTTTTCTGTGCATTGTTACGACATGAGTGAATTGCTTTACGTACATAGTAGTGTATATATTTGACTTCAGCGAATACACCGCGGAGAGATAATTTCCGATTCCTATTCATTATGCATTTAATCGAGATGCTCACATCTCTTATTGCATTGTAAACGGACGAAAAAAATCAACGACAAAAGTCAAAAGCTGTTAAAGAAACGTGTATCCTTTCCATTTATTTACTTACTTTATAATGCTTTCGCTTATATCGGTTTTGATATTTTTTTAACGCAAAACGACAGATACTTTATGAATTGTGTTTGAATACAAGTACTTAAAGGTCGAAGTATCTCGGCATTGTGTAATCATGTAACTTGCGCGCGCGAGATTGAGTGAGTGATGAGTCTCATATCGGCAATTTTATATTTAGCGGTTAAATATACCTACATCAAGGCGTGATTGATGGTGATTTAAAACGAGCAGAAAATAAAGTATAACACAAAGAAAATAAAAAAATATAATCTGAAGATAAACTGACGCGGTAGAGATTTTAATATCCGAATACTCCGTCGAGGAATAGGGAAATTAAATTGCTGCTTCACAAAAGTGCAATTTGTCTATTTCGAAAAGAGAAAAAGCGAAAACGAAGCGGGGCGTTTTCTCTTTTTGGAACTTTTCAAAACGATATATTTCGAGCGTCGTGAATCGCAATCAAAAGTGCACAGAAATGCATTCGCCTCGTAGTAAAAAGGAGCGCAAACGGAGGCAATTTGCAAGCTTGCATCTCCTGGTATTTATGGCAAGCGGCAGTTCTGACATCGTAAAATCGCACGCGTACATTCCGCATTGTGTTTTGCCGTAAAACGAAATCCGCTCGCCATGGTGTGGTCCTCGATATTCACATTTTGCGTGTTGCAATAAGAATATAATACGTCCTCGTTACTGTTCGCCGATTCGGCGCTAATGGACTATGAGCGTACTCTATTATTATAATAGAATAATTGTCATCCGTGATGTCCGAAAGATCGTTCACGGGGGTATACGCGAAATATACGTTTCCCAAAAACGGTTTCAATTACATGCGGTAATTTAACGTGACGCTTTTACATTTTTATGCGTGAGATATCGATTCTTCTCTCGTCGTTATACTATATGTATTTTATATTCGCTTGCAAAGTGATACCATCGAAGGGAAAATCTCGAGGTAATTCGATCTTAATTTGCAGGAACCGTATTACCGGATACGTCCTGAATTATTCAAATCTAATTTATTTTACCGCGTACTCCCACCTTCGAAGTTTTAGAGCAACAATCACTTTAGCTTCTTAAAGCCGACGCTTTCAATTCCAGTAAAACTTCTGCTTGATAATGACAATCATAATTGAAACATTATGGAAAGATAATATACATGTATTAATGATACAATTATTTAGAGAAATAATAGTAAGAATTATATTTTTATTTTATTATTTATAAAAAACTGCAACTCATTCACCTCTTTTCTATTTGAATAAAATGTCAAAGGGATGAGGAGAAAACGCAAGGTGTCACAAAAAAATTAGTTTTACAAAATAAAATAACATGCAATATTATTGTGGCGTTTTTCACAATGTAAAGAGAAGAGACAAAGAGAAACGGCTTATACGATTGTTCACTTACAAAATCGATAACGTATATAACTCGTATTATAGACTCTTATTTAATTAAAAAATATCAAAGAATAGATTAACAATAACTATAATGTGAAAGTTTCAAATGTAAAGAGTGTAGAATAACAATGGTTATTCAGGATAATATTCATCGTTGCACGGAGAGAGAG